ATAAGTTTCAAATGAACAGAAATGGTGAGTTAAAGCATTGTCTTATGCACTCCTTTAATATTAAAAAGCGCAAACCACTAAAACAGTGCACTGAAGCACTAACATCAGAACTATATCTTAAATATCCCACCTTAAGTATTTTTGTTTGACAGATTAAAGCCAAAAAAGCCCAAATATCTGAATATGAGGAGCACAACCTGACAGAAACAGACTTATCTGAACTGGAAATGCATAGAAACATTGCCAACATTCAGACCTTGCAGCTGAATACCAAACATTATAGTTAGCTAAATGCTCCTACACCATTAAAGTCAAATAAATGGAAATAAAAAAGCAGCATTGCTCAGTTTGGCAAAGGAACTTTTGTCCCACTCTTCTCCCTTTTCTGCTGCCATTAACCCAACCCCCCAGTATTTCTAATGCCTCACGAAAATGACTACAAAAACAAACACTGGAGGTCACATTACATCTTCAGCTCTGCATTTTGAGTCAACTGAACTATTCTGGCTATTTCCAGACAAAAGTGAATGGAGAAAGCAAAGAGAACTAATGGGTTGTTTCCCCTGAAGATGAAAGAACCTTCTGTCCAGACAGAAGGTTCTTTTATGAATTTAAAGACTCAGTCCTTTTAAGGACCCAAATCAACATTTTACTATTTATGGACCCAGGGACAAACCTTGCTTATTGAAAGAGAAGGCACTCAGCCTCCAAGAATGAGAGTGGATGTCACAGTGGTTTTTATGCTTCATTTTGCTTTGAGATACACACACAAAGAAGACAACCCAGGAAATGTAAAATCTGATTAAATAAATCCTCACCTGGCTGCCTGTGACTCTGTATATGAAGCTTGTGATGAGCTCCGGATAAAGAGACAAACGCTCGACTGCGTTAATGGTCTGACCTGAAACGGTCCTGTTATCTACCACCAGCTCATAAAACCCTGTAAAACACAAAACAACAGAGCTGAGTCATAAGGAAAGCAGAACATTAAAGTCATTATCTGTGCCATCTGTGGACTATTTTAAACTCTGAATCATACAAATCTACTCTATTATAGAGTCCAAGAATAAAAATATGGAAAAAATATTGAAAATTCGCTAAGCCTTTCATGAAGCAGGCAGTGTGCTCGTACCTCGCTCAAAGGATGGTGCTGCGATCAAACGCTTGTAGTAGTAATAATAGACCCCACTGCCTCCCTGGAAAGTGATTTCACGTTCCAGCTCCTTAGAAATATACAAAGTAAATTTTAGAGCTCGTACGATTGGGCAGCAAAGTAAAGATAAAAAAGGAAAAGAAAAAAAAGTCACCCACCTGTCGAGTTGAAAACCAGAACTTCCTGTCATGATATGTGGACAGATACACTGCATACAGCATGCCACAGGCAACAGATGCCAGACATCCAAAGAACACCCGGACTAGCCGCTGTAAGAAAACAGCTGAGGAGAAGAAGCATTAACAGTAAAAAACAACATCATCAACAAAAAAAGCTTCTGTAGGTCTTAAATGTGAGAGGAAAGATTTTTGACTCACACACTTTAAATAACCATTTTCTACCACACACTATTTCTCTTTGTAGCTGCAAACTGAGCTGAACAGAGAGATCAATATCATATACTACTATGACAAAAATAACACACAAAAAATAACATTACACCTGCCACCAAAGTACAGCCAGAGACATTTTATATTTAGTCTCCTACACATTGCAACACGTGCAAAAAAAACAAAACTTCTTCAGAGATGTCTAAAAATCTTACAGTACATACAAATTTGGTGACGTATGTACAAAAACTCTGCGAGATGGAAAAATACACTTAACTGCAATTTCAGTGTTTACTGGAAGCCACAGATGCAATATTTCATGACTCATGAAGTCGAGACATATGTTTTAGTACATTTGATCCAACACCACTGCAGGACAGTCGACTTCTGTTACTTCACCGAGTCACCATGGCATGTGTTTCAGCACCTGGTTGTACTTTTGATACCTCTCTTATCTGTATTTGAAGCATTTTCAATTACTCTCCTACAGCGTCTAACATTTACTAAGCTTTCTAAGGGTGTGCTCACAGTAGGCTCGGTTGCCTTTTACCATGTTTGAGCACAGAGCCCCCTTCCTCCTCACACTTCCCTTAATGTTTCGGGCCCCAGCGCTTCAGTTTGTCTCAGCATCTCAACTGTTCACTCTTTCATTCTCTCACTATTTTTGAACGACACAAGCATTCCTGAAAAGCTTGCTTGCAGAGCAAAATTAGGTTAAAGATTTTATGTATTTTGTGGATTCGTTATGTGGCGCTGTCTTCACTGATTTGTTATTTACCTAACCAGCTAACTTTCATAGCTGGAACTCGATTAGTGTACTTTGCCCAAAAAGAACTTGCTCAACCTTGCCCTGGCTACTTCCTTAACTCGCCCATGGCACATTTGCCGAACTGTGTCTCTGCACATCAAACAGCTCTATTAATGAGAAGGTCAGCACTCACAAGTATGTAAAGAATATTTTTAATTTTGCATGACAGTAAAAATTAAGAGATGTGTTTCATCCAATGGCTTTCTTCAGTGTTTCTGATATGCAATAAAAGCACATAAAGGATAATAATAATAATAATAATAATAATAATAATAATAATGGAGGTAGAAAAATTACAATCGGTCATTTCATGTCTTTAATCATACATACCAACATAATAACACATAAATAAGCTAAGGCATCGAGTCTTTACACTCAATGCTATTCCTTCTGAAATTGCAAACCACTACACTATGGAGCCACCAAAATATGACATACATAAACATGCATTTATGTAGCTTTTTTTTTTTTTTTTTTTACTTAATTTGAAAGTACAACTACTAAACTACAAGGCTTTGCATGATTCACATTTTCTCCTCCCCCTGACTGGCTGAACCTTGCAAAGGGGGGGGTTTGAACAGCAGGTGGGTGGAGCTTCCACGCCTGAGATGTTCTTACTGACATCATTCAGAGCTACAAATGCAGAAAAACTGTCTGAAACAGAGCATCTACAGCAGACTAAAGCTTTTGTCTCACGGGGATCACTTCATGGAAGCATAATAGGTCCCCATTAATGTACAGCATGAACCTGACCATCAAATTGTTTGTTTTTTAAACGCCACTGAGCAGCGTATGAAGTGGGCTGGTATGTAAGAAATGGACTTACATGCAGATAAGCCCTTGGCTTTGACACATGACTGGGCTCTGCTTGATTCTTCCTGTTCATGCTGACCGCCTTTAACTTCACCTTCATCTTTCTGCTGCGAGCCATCAGCCGCTGCAGTGCTGGACCCATTCACCTGTTCAACATCTGGTGCTAGAGCAGAGAGAGACTGGCTGTCACAGCATCGACACAGAAATGTGCTCTGACAAACTGTTTCTCCACTGGAAGCTACACAGCTCATGTTCAGTTAGCAAACTGCTAAGTTAGCTCAACTTACGTTTGGTCTCCAGCTCCGACTCCTTTTGTTTCTCTTCCTCTTCATTATCTCCTTCCAAAGTTTCTGATTTCCGGCATCTTAATTCAGTCATGACTAAATCAAATTAAGCCAAGAGGATCTGTCTGGTGTGTTGAGGCAGCAGCATGCTAACTAAAAAGCAGTTAGCTAATCTAAGATCAAATCGATAAGATAAGCTCTTTAAGGTAAACTCAGCAGATGACAGGCTCCAAACGTTACTTTACTCAAGAGATTTTATCCTTCACGAACTTGTAGAACGACAGCGGCACAGCTGCAGAGTTTAGTTTAGTGGTGCCTGTGTGGAGGACTGAAGTTAGCGCTACTGCTGGGCGGAAGTTGCAGATGACAACAGAAAGCAGCGAAGAAGAATCCAGACCAAACTCAATGGAATATTTGTCTAATTTAAGACAAATAAACGCCAGCAAAACGCAAAATAAATAAATACAAATAAAAGAACTTTGATTATAAATAACATTTACCTTTCTAAAGTATTCAGACCACGTTTTAACACTGCCATTAACGTGTTCTTTTTCGCATTATTTCTTAAAGCAAATTTCCATTAAATTGATACCTGACATTTAAAAAAAATCTATTTATGTATTTTTAAAGTACTGTATTGGTATTTCTTTGCATTTTCATTACTTTTACTTTCTTAAAAATATATATTAGAAGTGCTTCTTGTCAGTTATTATAATCTTATACAAGGACACGTTTATATTTAATAGTGTTTCCTTTGGCAAATACTCTGTACCTTGGATGTTGTTTTTGTTTTGTTTTGAGTAAACCTTTACTTAATGAAAACTGGGAAATTTAATACTTTTATTGAAAATAATATTTAAGCACAAAACGGACTAAACACATGAATAGTACAAAAAGAAAATATAATCATTTGCAAATACAGCCAAAACATTTTAACAAATCAGTTACAATATTTTAAAAACAAACAAACATATAAATAGAGCAATAGGCTTTTTCCGATAACCATAATTGTAAAATATGTATGTTTTTTACATATTCCCAAAATATTTAATTTTCATTTCCTTCATTATCAGATCAAATTTTACTTTCCTGATAACCTGAACACACTAATAAAATTAAAAAAGGTGAGCACATGTTTTAATATCTGAATCATAGAATAAGTTATTTTTTTATCTGTTGTCTTAAGAATTCGTTGCAAGGACAGATATAAATTTGAGATGCTTTTCTCAAACTACCTTCTTGAACAACTTTCAAGTTGCCATTTGTACAATCGATGAAAGTATGTAAACACATATTGTTTAAGTAAAAACTAGTGATTTTTTTTCTACAGATTTTCATATGACACCAGCGTAACATTAATTTTTTGTGTAATTTTCAAGTTTATTGACTAGTTAGCAACTCTTTATGGTACAGAAGTTATTTCCTTTATTATTTTCTGTTTATTTATGTGTATTACTTAAATGCTCCACTTTTCTTCAAAATGTTTTTTTAACATGCCTTATTTATTTGTGTTTGGGTGTTTATTAATAAAGATTTTTACAATTTTTTTTAAATAATATGCCATTTTAAATTTAAATGATAAATAAATAACAAAGGGAAAAGGTCGTGTAAAAAAATCAAACAAAAATATCACCTTTATAAGTTAGTCAAAAGAAATCAGACAATTATTTGGAGATTTTAAAAGTCTAATAGTAGTTTTTCATTGTGTTTTGTTTTGGGGTTTGTTTGGGGCTTTTTTCTTTTACAAATGGCAAGAAATGATCTAATTGCACCTTTTAAAATGTGAAGAAATTATGTACAAGCAATTTGACCATTTATTTATTATTTTAGGAAATTTTATAAAATCTTTTTCAGTGTTTATTATTCATTTTTTTGTTATAAAGACATTTTAAATTAATAATAAAGCTAACTAGTTGCAGACCCTATAACAGTCTTATGGAAAAAGAAAATTGTGTAACTGTAGTAACCCTTTTTTTTTTTAAACCAGGTTTTCAAAAGTATTCAAAACACTGAAACAAACACTAAAAACAAAACACTAATTACTTAGTTGCAGCTCTACTTTTTGAAGGTAGCACATTCTAACAGGACAAGTTAGCCAAGAAAATACAATTAAAAAAGGTTAATGAATAATGCCAGCTCTATATGTAAGACCTATACAGAAAGCTGTATTGGGTGACCTCATTAGGACAAATTGAAATGTAGAATCACTAAGAAAAAAGTGGTGTTTTTGTAATTACCATGCATACAAATCAATGTCTGTGATGGACAAATCTAAAGGCGTCCTTTGTGATTTGGGTTATTAGCATGACAAACAATGACAAAAAAAGAATCACTGAAAGCTGAACAAATGTGACTTACTCTTATGTGAATTTCTTTGTGAAAGGACTTTAATTCCAACACAACGAATTTTATAGCTGCATGCTGAGGGTGTACTTAAAAAGCTAAAATGCCTGAAAGGTGAAATGTAACTTACAGCAATGAGAGCTACACTGTTTTCTTCTTTTTTAAATTAAACTCATAGGAATCAAAAATTGCAAACAATTGGCACGTAACATTAAAAAACAAAGCATCAAAGACAGTGCATAAAATCTTTAAGGAACCCACAAAATTTGGTCCCACACCTAAAATCTGGAGTAAAAATGTAATGGGCATAAATTAACAAATAGTGAGCTAAAGCACAGTGAAGAAGTTTACATGAACACTAACTGTGACCGTTATGTTTCACAACGCTTTGAGAAATTTGTTTCATTTACTTATTCTTCTTCTGAAGATTCTTCTGAACCGGCCGAATCCTCCTCCTCTGGTTTTTCAGCAACATGTTTTTCTCCTTTCATGAATAAGAAAACTGTGTTATTTACTTTCATTTTACTGTAGCATTAGTAATGAGTTGGTATGCAGTTTATACCTTTGCTGGCTTTCTTTAGGCTTCCTGCTGCCCCAGCGTGTCCAGCATCACACCTCTCTAGTAGGATTGTCAGGGTTTTGGTCACTTGTGGATGCTTAGCTGCCTTCAATGGCTTGTCATCTGCACTGTTACCTGATGAATCAGAAGCAATATTAATTTAAAGTCAACATGAATACATGAGAGAAGCAGCATTCATAGACAAGTGTCATTTGAAGTTGTGTGAAAAACAAACATAATTAATTCAATTTCTGATGGGATTGTGCTCGCTGCTAAAACGCTGGTAGGTTGACGGGTTAACTAGAAAGCATTTCCTGTGAAAACACATCAGAATTATCCACCAATCGGAGGCACAGCAGAGAGGGAAGACATTAAAATACACCGAATGGCTAATGCTTACACTTGTGTCAGTTACCATGGCTAAGACTTTAGCACATTCCTAGGTGAGGTCTACTTGTGTAATTTATGTAGTAGACTCCAGACAGTCTCTAGACGGCTTTGAGAAAATTTATATTCAAAGTTGACAAATTGTCCTCCTTGTTTATTGATAAACTGATGCCTGTAGAGTGAAAAATGTGAGCTCAAAATCAAATATTCAGCCGATTAAGGAAGCCAATTAAACAATTGTGACAAATTGTTTAATATTTCAGAAGCTTGTAAGACATATGTTTGTTACTACACCAAACGGATCAACAAAGCCTTTTGTTGATCTACATATTTTATATATTTTTTTACATTATTTACATTTGATCTTTTACATTGTATATAATGTCTATTGATTTTATTGTTTATTTTAATATTTTAATATTTGTGCACAGCGCTTTGTGATTACCTGTCTGTGAAAAGCGCTTAATAAATAAAGTTTACTTACTTACTTACTTACAGTATGGAAGTTTGTTTCTACCGCTAAAAATATATTAAAAAAAACAATAAATTAATTTTGCATGGCAGAGTCTCTGAATGCACTGTCTCAGCTGAACTCTGGACACGCACACACATACATATACACTGATATGCACACACTCATCCCCCCTCCCTTTCCAAACGCCTTCGAGGCTTATTCCCTTCCGATGCTGACGGTGGATCAAGGAGCCCAGCGCATGCAGGCCTGGATGTACTGTCTAAATTGGCTGTCTCTCACCCTTTACCCACCCCTGTTGCTTGTCATGTGTTTCTTTGGTGTATTAAGAGGTTTTTTTTTCATGTGCTATGTGCAGAGGTGTTTTTTTCTGTTCTCAAACTGATCTCCCTGTTGGAGCTCAGTCTGAGGGGAGTTATTTTTTTCTCCTTATCTTTCCTCATGTGGTGCATTTTCCATTGTTATACCTCTCTGACCGTCTTCCCCATGTGATGTTTTGCGTCATGTATGTATGGTCGGAGGGTAAGATGGCGCCGCCATTGCGGCAGCCTTATGAAATTTCCCCTTGTGGGACTAATAAAGGTACAGTATATCAAATCAAAAGCTGAAGATTTCAACGTAATGACTCAAACTTCTAAGTTATAAATGTGACATCTCAGAGTGGTGTGGTCAGTCTTTACCTGGCTTCTTTCTTGGACTCCTAGAAGGAGTACTCTTCTTCTTCGGAGTGGGAGCCTTTGTTTTGGGTTTTTTGATAGCACGAGGTTTTTTCACAAGATTAATCAACGGTTCTTCATCTGAGCTATCATCACTGACTTCTGCTAAAACAAAGATTGAAAATGTTTTAAACTTTTCTTTGTTTTGTTCAAGTCATCAGTGCTGTGAGAGTACCTTTTCTCTTGTTTGATGCTCGCCCTCGTGTTACGGTGCTCTTCTTTGGGCTTTTCTTCACTGGCCTCCTTTTCTTGGCAACGAGGTCCACAAGGGGCACATCATCATCTGAGCTGCTGTCTGCAAAAGAAGCGCTGTTTTAAAATTTAAGAGGCTAAAAACGAAACTACCTATAGTTAAAACCTGCTTAAAATCAATCCTTGCGCTCAGCCTACTGAAGACTTTGCCTACCTCTATGTTTCGATGACTTCCTCTTTATCGCCGCCAGTGGCTCATCATCTGAGCTGTCAGTGGACGTCTCAGTATATTTAACTAAACGAAACAGCAACAAGTTATTTGAACTCAATAAAGGTCTTGTGGGATTTTTTCATTTTAGTTGAGCTCAAACTTTCAAACCAACCCTTTTTCTTTGCAGCATTTCTTTTGGATTTGGTAACCGGGTTTGCTTTTTCAGCAGCTGCTCTTCTCTCGTGCCGTGACCGAGGTTTCTCGGCAACTTGACTCAAAGGCTCATCATCGGAGCTGTCGTCCTTGCCCAGTGACTCTGTGTGAGAAAAGGAATCCCAAAGTAAGTATCTGATATAGCAGATGTCTGACGATACCCCAGTCCACTGGAGAGAAAGTCATCTCACCTTTCTTCTTTCTACCAGCAGCTTTTTTGGTTGGAACTGAGGGAGGTTTTTTCACAGCTTTCAAGGAAATTTTGGCAATTTTTATCAAAGGCTCATTGTCAGAGTCTTCGTCTGTATTTAAACACAGAAAGCAAAAATGTGAAGCCATTCACTCTATACACAAGTCAGAAGAACAAACAATGAAAAAAGCATGGGGTCACCTGTGTTCTTGTTATTTGTGCTGTTAGATTTGGGTGGTGTGTTTTCCTTTTTCTCTTGTTTCTTAGGTGGTGCAAGGCTTGTCTTCATCTTTACTAGCGGCTCATCATCCGAGGAGCCATCTGAACCTGTGAGAGAAGATATAAACATGCAAAATTTAATCAAATAATTGGTTGGAGAAATATTTAGTGTAAACACTTTTACTGATAAAACAGCTGGTATTATCATCACCTTTGTCCTTTTTTGATTTATTGTTGGAGTTGGAGGATAAGCTGCGGGTATTGTCGCATGACTCCTTCTCATCACTCTGTTGCCTCATCAGCAGCTTTGATAGAGGCACTAAGTCCTCATCACTGCTGGAGCTCCCATCTGATTAGTCAGACACACAGTCGGATAAATAACTGTAAATATCAGTATTTTTGGTACAGCAAATGTAATAATGTAGTTAATGCTACTTTAGAAAAAAGGATAAGCTACTTAATATGAAATCTTTTCAAAAATCAAATCATATTTGTGATTTAATAAAAAAAACAGCATTCATATGATGATTTCTTATTGCATTCACCTTCATTTGACAGACTGATTATTATTACGATTAATTCCTTTATTTGAACAGGTCATCTCAGATCAAGATCTTTTTTTCAACAAAGACAAAAAAATACAAGACTTTAGACAGACAGAGAAGAACGCAATATACATGTTCATAAATAAAACAGGATGTTCAAAGATAGTTGCAAAAAACCCAGCGCACAATAATACCAAGGCTCAAGAGGCTTCAAATTGGATGCAGAATCATTCATATAAACAATGTCACAATAAAAATAAAATATAAATCTGCAGACTGCTACGATGCTACACCCAGTGGATGAGAAAAAGCGTTTCTTTCTATACAAAAATCCAATGTTGATCTTTAACTTTCTTGATTGGTGCCACAGTTGCACCATATCATACTGTATGTCATATGGTGCAGTATGATTGTGAAATGACAACTTATTTAGCAATATCCATTTATCATGCATTGGCTCAGTACATCCCTTTCTTATCATACGCTGAGTACATCATCATTTTCTTCTTCTAGCTGCTCCCTTTTGAGGGTCATCACAGCAGATCATCTACCTCAATCTCAACCTTTTCTTAGCAATCTCCTCTGTCATACCAACTCCTCCAATATATCCATCCACATATATCCCTCTGCACATGTCCAAACCATCTCAGCCTTGTCTCTCTAACGTTGCCTCCAAACAGCTCAACCTGAGCTGCCCCTCTGATGTACTCATTTCTAATCTTATCCATTCTGGTTAGTCCCCATTACAATCTTAATATTGTCAGCTCAGTCCCCAATGTAATCATACCTCCACCCATTACACTACTATCTCACTGTACTCACCATGACCATCATCATGTCCTGCACCTCCATCAAACCTTCTATATTCTTCTCCATCAACACTCTCAAAACATCACGTTTGTAGTATTATTTTTCAGAAAGAAATCGCACAGCTCCTCACAGATCGTCACCTCATAACTTCTCTTCTCAGCCTAGCTTCAACAATGACTCATCAACTCTATCCCTCTGTAGTTACTACAGCACTGAACATTTCCCTTATTCTTGAAAATCAGTACCAGTCTGTCTTTTCCATCCCTCAGGCATCCTCTTACTCTCCAAGTAGTCACGGGAGCACGTTCAGTGAGAGACTGAGATTACCAAAAAGCACCACTGAACAACACAGGAAATCATTCCTGTCGTGGCCATCTCCCTGTACAACTCCTCCACCTAATACACTGTAAACACTGCAATAATAGTTACCCTTTTTTGCACACGCTCTACAGTAAAATAGCAAATTACAAAATTCACAGATTCACAGAGTTAAATGTGAATCATATATATTCCACCTCTGTAAAATTCTTTGTCAATATTCTTGATATTTATAATCACCTCTGTAAAATCCGTGATGTGTATGTGATGTGATGGGCGCAATTTGTATATATTAGCGCTACTTCATAAGTTCGTAAACTCTGTAACATATTGTATTATTTAAATAGTTTAGTCTGTTACTGTCTTGGAGCAACTGTAACCCACATAATTTCCTTGGGGATTAATAAAGTATACTGATTCCAAAGACATTCTCTCCTAGACTTCTCCATACTTCCATAGGTATGTCATGTCTTCATCTCTCCCCACCCTTCATTCTCTTCATAGATGCCCTCAGTTACTCCTTACTACTCACCCCGGCCTATTTTCTCCATCCGTAGTGTCGAGTTGCATACAAAACTCACTTTGAGCTTTCCCATGCCATCTTTTTCTGATGCCTAGCATCTCTAGTATTCTGTCCTTTCTTTCCCTTTGAATACATTCCTGATAATAACCTATGAATATACAGCCACTCAATGATGTATCTGGTCCACACTGAGCTAATCTTAGCTAGACTTATCATTGATCAAATATTGGGGATTTAATTATGTATTACTATAAAGGAACATATTTTCTTATATGAATTTAAAATCTCCAAAGTCAAAAGCAAAACGTACACGTGAATGTGGTCTAGTTACACGTGCAATAACTATAGTATGAGGAGAAGAGTGTAGTGTTTAGCTAAGTTTCCATTATCCATCACAGTTTTATCATTAATACCAGAAGTACGTCTTGTGTGCAAAAGTGATGTTTTGCAAAAATCTCTGATCAAACCATACACACCGTTAAAAACATAATTACTGAATTAAATCAGGTTAAACTTTTCCATAATTAACGCTTTTAAATCAAGCTATCAGCAGTGGCGTGGGTGCATTACCGCGAAGTTATAAGCTAAGTTAGCAGTTAGCTGCGCAGTTCAATAACATGTTTGCCTCTTCAGGTAAAATTAAGAACAGCATCCGGCTACCTGCAGAGTCGTGTGCCACGTTAGCGTGCAGGTCAGCGGTGCTACAGTCCATTATGTTGGTCAGTGTAAGCAAATATTGCTCTTCATCCGCAGTAAAAACGCGCCAACTTGATTTTACTGTTACTCGATTTTCGCTGTGGGTTGAAGGTGGCGGTTTGTTTCAGCTGCCTCTAGGATGTATTTATGAGCCGATATTAACAGAACCGACCCGCAATCTAAAGCTACAGTTTAACAAGCAGATTTTGCAATAACGGGTGTAATACGGTCCCAGTTCATGTTTGATTTGTTTACTTCCGCTTTAGTTTTGGGAGGGAATGCACTTGGGCTCGCATTGATGACGCTTATTAACGTCATTGGTCTACTGGCTCCACGTTTTCCTCGCAACAACACCTAGCAACTAATCTAAACCAGAGTCAGACATGGCGCAGAAGGAATTCTGGATTTGAAATAAAAAGAAAACATCTGTGAGAGAAATTCAGTCTTCATTCCGTCATTTTTTATTTTTTACTATTAATAAAATATTATTTATTTATTTAATATTACTTACTTTTTTGGGACATAGTCGACTAACCTTTTAAGGAGCAGTAAGACTACTCGATGTTTGCTCAAAATAAACGTAGTTATTTTTTATTAATGTAAAATTAATATGAAGAATAATTCATAATTGTTCAGATTATTTAGTGGTTCAATAAACAAAACATTCCTCTGAAAATGGACAAATATAGGGACTGAAAAAAGTGAAACAAGCAGCCAATGCCCAAAGAAAAAAATTTTAAAGCCTGGAGAACTACTACTCAACACCTTTAAAAGTTTGGAAGAAAGTCTGTCTCCTTGGAAGCAAAATATAAAGCAATGAGGAACCCAAAACATTTGTGTAGTTTCTGTACGATTCTGATCTTAGTATGACTTAAGCAGGAAAAAAAATTATCCACGAGTAAACGTGATTACTGTGGCAGTTGGTAGCTCAGTTTATTACACACATACAAGATAAATACTAGAGCACTATAATGACAAACAGGACATGACCACATGCTGTAAATGTGCTGATCTAGACAATCATATGAACCTAATGACAAATCAGTCAATATTAATCAAAAAAAAGTGAGAAGAGTCTGTGCTGCTCAACAATCCTCAGGAAATTAACTGTTCAAGAATAAATACAAGAGCAGTGTGGAGTTTTAATACTTTGGTTAGTTGCGGTTTTTCTTCACAAAAACTGCCTTTAAAACTGTCAGTTCTTATAATTTTACTCTATGACTCATTAGGTTTAGTTTGATGGGTGAAAAGTGTCCTGAACGCATCCCTGAGAAAATATGGGGACAACCAGGTGATCAACCTTAGCTCAAAGGGTCATTCAATTTTTCACAGGTGATTTTTTTCATTTTGCTGCTGTTGATTTAAATAAAGAGCTACTGTAGAGGTACTTGTATTACATATATATATCCTTTCATCCATTCAACTTCACCATTTATAGCAACACGTGACTCACAAATAGAACGAGTCAAATCACTACAGTTGTAGAAAACATTGGTAATTCTCAAAGAAGACATGTTACATATATATCCTATAATCACTTAAAACCTGATGATTGGAGGTTAAATTATATTCGGTTAAGTTTATGATCAGATCACTCAGATTTTCCAATGTTTCATGCATTGCTAAAAACAAATATCATTAAAACAAAATACCATCCTCCTTTCCAGCACAGCAGAGTTAGGCAGAGCTACTTAGGGGCTATGGAGACTTCCTCATAATTTTGTTTTTCTTTTTTTGCATCTTGTCACCAACATGTTACCTGTTGGATTTTGATATAAATAAAAAGCACTTGTTAGATATGTCGAACCAGGCCCTGGCTAACCCCACTACTGAAAAATCATTCACGACACTTTGCTGATCAGATACATTACAGTACAGCAAAACAGTGTTTCAAGTGGAGCAAGTGAGACAACACAGTCCAACTTTATTAATGGTCTGTTGTTCGGTGCAACCCGTGAGTCCGTGCTGGTGTTTATGAGTGCTCTGGGAGTGACAGGTTACATAGCGGCCATCTTGCTGGCCTCTCTGACGCCACTGAGGTAGGCTCCCGTCACAGTCTGAGGAAAGTGTCTGTTGGTTGCCTGATATAAGGGACAAAATGCATTAAAAGCACATTTCACAGACACATAGAGCTAGTTTAAAAATATCCATATACACTCATGGCCACTTTGTTAGCTACATCTTCTTAATACTGTGTTGGACCTCCTTTTGGTCTTCAGAGAGGTTAGATAGGCTATAGAATATAAATAATAATCAGGAGGTCCAGGAAACACCCGTACCTTCTTATACCAGCAGCTTGTACCTGTGATACAAAGCAGAATGGATCCATGCTTTCATGTTATCGATCGCAAATTCTGACCCTTCCATCCAAGTGTCACAGCAGAAATAGAGACTTATCAGACCAGACAACACAATTCCAACTTTTTGTTGTCTAGTTTTGGTGAGCCTATGAGAATTGTAGCTTCAGTTTCCTGTTCCTGTGTGGTCTTCTGCTGCTGTAGCCCATCTGCTTCAAGGTTTTGCATGTTTTGCATTCAAAGATGCTCTTCTGCTTAGCTTCAGTACAATTGGGTGGTTATTTGAGTTACTGTTACCTTAGTATCAGCTCAAAGCAGTCTGGCCATTTTCCTCTGACCTCAATAAGACATTTTTGCTCAGAGAATTGCATTCTCCATAAACCATATACATGGTTGTGTGGGAAAATATCAGTAGCTATGAAAATACTCAGACCATCCTGTGACACCAACAACCATGCTACAGTCAAATTCTCTCAAATCTTCTTCTTTCCCATTCTGATCCTCAGCTCGAGCTTCAGCAGGTCATCTTGCCCATCTCTACTTTCCAAAACGCACTGAGCTGCTTCCATGTGTTTTGCCGATTAGATATTTGCATTAATAAGCATTTGAAAAGGTGTACCTAACACAGTGGCCTTAAGTGTATAGGGACCATTTCCACAGCAGGAGACATTTTAATTTGTCAGAGCAGGAAAACAACAGGAGAGAAGGATGCGAGGCCTGACTGCTGCTCCAGAATCATTCTTATTGAGCAGAGCAGCTTACTGGAAGACTTTGATAAAATTTGATAGACCTGTTACAGGGGAAAGACATCAAAGCACTGACCAAATGAATTTAGATTCTCTAAGTGACAAAACATAAGCAAATTCATCCTTATCCACTTAGGTCTGTTTTAGTGTTAAACAGCTCTAGAACATCAGAAAAGTTATCTTTGAATAGAAATCTTTGTTGGACATCATCTACAGAAGACTCGAATATCATTTAATTTTCGCCCCCTCAACCTGCTGGATTGAAAAAAAGATGCCAGAGATAGTGTGATTAAATGTAGAATGTCTGTGGCTCACATAACTTTTGCACTCTTGCCTTTGTAGAAGAGATTTAGGGAAACAAGCAGTAACTTGTTTCCCTAAATCTCGTTTCCCTAAATCTGAACGTTGACTTCTGTCAACGTTCAGTCAGACTCTAAAACGAATATTTAAAATGATTCCTGTAAAAATAACTGAAACATGAGGCGGCTCACTATTACAGGCCTTGTGCGACTCAATTTCTACAACAAAGATTAAGAATGCAAAGTTAGTGTGATACATACAGCCACAGCAGGATCGTGTTAATGCAAAACACATTTATGTAAAATAGAAATGAAATAAATGCCTCAGTAGCACTTCATAAAACCTGACGTTTCTGGACTCATTTGGTAAAAATTAGAAAAATATTACCTCGCCAGCAAAGAACACCTTTCCCTGCACGTCTTCAGCGAGAACGTCGTAGGCCTCTCCGCTGCCCCCTGTCTTCACAAAGCTGTAGGACATCTGGGACCAGATGTCTTTGCTCCAATGAGTGATGAAGAAATTCATTGGCTCAGGAACCTCCTAAATACATGCATATATAAATTTGAACTTAAATGAGAGCATTGGGAACTAAAAAAATAAATACAATAAAAAAAATGAAAAAACAGGAATCCAGGGGAAAATAATACACCTCTGATTAGGAGATATACAAAATTTCAAGTCAGCATTGTCCAAAATATATTTTAATGGCTGTAGGTAGAGCCATTAAAATATATTTTTTTAAATTCCTGTATCTTAAAAAAAATAAAAAGAATAAATATCAAAAGGTAAGTTGTTCAGTTGTTTTGTGTAAATATCTGACACAATGAGTCTATGAATATTGATTGATGGATGTTTGGAGTCCTTAAATATTTTAATCTCTGACAGAGGATCTTACTTCAATGTGATATTTCCCCAGGTATAACACATTGAATCCAAATTAACTTTCTTGGAAGGTTTCTGGTAATATCATATAACAAATTTCAGACTGAGTTCTCTCTCATTTCAAAAATATGATTTTTGGTTGGTTTTTTTTGTTGTTGTTTTTTTAAATACTCCTATTATTTCTTTATTATTCTCAAACTTCTAAGTATAACTCCTGAAAGATTTTAGGAGAAGTAGGAGGATTACCTGCTCTTTGAAAAGTTCCCGCAGTACCCTCATGCACTCATCGACCACCTCTTTGTCCTCCATGTCCCGCACAGAAGAAACGGCGTCACCACTGATAATAGACATCAGCACAGCCTGCTTCCTCTACACAAACACACATTTAAACCATTAGATTCTGTATTAATCTCCTCCATCTTTTTCTACAACATTTGCCAATTTAAATATAAATACAATTTTGCAGCCTAACACCAGCG